ACTATAATAAAAGTTAAGTGAATATGTGTGTGCTCTGTCTCTGCCTTTCTCTGTCTTTCAAAATATCTTTTTGTACTGTACTCAGCTATTTTCAGACCTCAGTTGACCCCCAGGAACTGAAACCACAGAAAGTGAACCCTCAGATAACGGGAGACTAGGGGGAAGTACTGTAGCATTCTCTAGCATTTATACAATTTCTGAACATTATGGCTTATATTTCCACAGAAAAAGCTGTTGGCTGGACCTGTGACTTTGTTGGTAGTTATCACAAATATCAAGCAACTAACTGTTGTTTCTCCGAAGATGGTTCTTTACTAGCCGTTAGTTTTGAGGAAATAGTCACAATATGGGATTCCATAACATGGGAACTTAAATGTACATTTTGCCAACGAGCTGGGAAAATAAGGTAGGTAAATCATTTGGGAAGTATGTAGTGCTATTTTTTAACTTGTTTAAGCAAGTCTTAAAACTTCAGTAGTCATTTATGCCCTCTCCAAAAGTAGCCTGAAGGTTAGTGGGGCAAGCTGAAAAGCCAAAAATGCTGGAAAGCCAAAAATTCTGAGTTCACAAAGTGTGCCAACATTTCTGAAATTCAGGTTAACATTTAACTCTTGGCCTACATATTTTTTCTTTGGAATACTTTCATGGATGTGCTGAATGATAACAAAAGCCATACATAAGCCTCAGGGGATCCAAACCTTCTTATTTTCGGTGTATTCCCATAAAAACCACGTTATGTGCCAACCTCATCGTTTCTGAGAGGCGCAGGGGAAAGTAGCAGAAGCATTTTCAGGTAGTTGGTCCTGAGAACGGAATCAGATGCCTACTGAGATCATCTCTAATTGCCAGCAAGTCTGATTCTGAATTTACTTTGTAAAACTTTCTTCAGAATTGAAATTGCAAGTTTTCTTCTTCTCAGTAAATAAAATAGGATTTTTGTCAGATGACTTTGTACATTTGATGTACATTTTCTCTGTTACATGTTAATTGGTATACTGCACAGTGTGTTAAAGAATTGGTCATCCGATCTATTTTCCTAAAGAAATAGTTAAACCCTTCCTTTTGTACTCCTTAGACACTTTTTTCTTCAGGATAATTATAAACAAAAACATATGTGTCTATATTAAAATCTGCATCACATAGAACTAATACAGCCGCTGGAAGCCTGCAGTTCTTTGTAACTGAATTTGATAGAACTGACTGTTGCTAACTTCCTTGTGGTTTTAATCTAGGCACCTTTGCTTTGGGAGATTGACATGTTCAAAGTATCTACTTGGTGCTACTGAAAATGGCATTCTTTGCTGTTGGAATCTGCTGAGTTGTGCATGTAAGATTTTTTTTACTCTAAAGTGATCTAGCAAAGCGCATAGGGAGTTGACATTAAACTTTGGCATTTTAGGACTTAGGGGTCATATCATCAGGTCTGTACTTGGAATAGTCAGTTTTTTACATGACATATTATACCACCAAAATTTGGAATACTGAGCCTGTAATAGACATTATTTATTAACTGCTTAATTGTTGGTAAGTCGTCTTCCATTATCCTTACCTTTTTCTACTGTTTTTAGTGTGTGTGACTTTCTGATGCCCTCTACATCCCCATCCTCATAACAATTTGAATAATGTTTTCTGCTCATTTTTAATGCTTACTAATCTGCATTACCCCGACAGCTTAAATTCAAATGTAATCTATCACAGTCCTAACAAATGTGAACATTTTACCCATTTGAGCGTATGTTTGGAAGGCATAGTAGTTGCTTATTAAATGAATGTGTGTGGTAACTTTTTTCAGTATTCTTTACAGTTAACTCTGGTTAACATACTATCCACATTTAGCACCATCAGAAAAGCACTAGACATAAATTTCAATGAAATAATAATCTTTTCATAGTTTGTACAAGGAGCGCTAAAGTTCCAGTGTGTTTTTCTTTCGGCCTCTCACTTTAGTGCAGCCTTCCACAGATCGTTTCAGTGTGTCTCCATGTGTGTTAGTTGGAAGCATAAGATTCCTCTTCCTAAGAATAATAGAAGTTTTTTAAAGCTTTTGGTAAATCTTTCCTTAGAAGTGAATCACCTTTTTTTTTCCCCCTCAGTGGAGTGGAATGCAAAATTAAATGTTAGAGTTATGGAACCTGATCCTAATTCAGAGAATATTGCAGCAATCTCTCAGTCTTCAGTGGGTTCAGACTGTAAGTACAAACCACACTTTGTAGTAAGAGAATATCTATGACCTAAGTTTTCTTCTTAATATAATTTGAGTCAAACTTGCCTTCAAATCAGATGTTAATTGGAAGCCATTTTGCTTGAGGCACGGCCCTTCCTTGCCCTAACACTTTGTCATTGTGTAAGTCCATACTTAGTTCTAGGAGAGCTCCAGTACGTTTCTTATTTTTCCACAAGCCAGTTCCTACTCAGTCTTTAAAATTCAGGAGATTTCACCACTTTGACACATTCCCAACTGCCCCTGAGAAGCTTTAATTGGTCATCCTCTGTGTTCTTGAAGCAGTTTCTACATATCTCATTTCTAGTACTTACAGACAAAATACTACTGTGGTTTCTGTCTTCTGCAGTAGGCCCTGGCCTCTGGAGCAGGAATTCTTCTTTCTCTTTTTCATCCTTATAGCCCTCATTCCTAACCTGCCTGGCCCATAGTAGGCACACAGTAGATACCTCTTGAATCAGCCTAAAACAGTCATGACTTGGGCCAGTTACTCAATGGGGTGAGTCCCAGGATTAGTGTGATCTGCCAGTCTAAGGCTAGAACTAACCTTTTCAGGCAAAATGTTATTGTCTCTTTGTTTTTTTCCTCTAGTGTTTGTATTTAAACCTAGTGAGCCAAGGCCATTGTATATTCAAAAGGGTATCTCCAGAGAGGAAGTCCAGTGGGGAGTGTTTGTTCCACGAGATGTCCCTGAGTCTTTCACCTCAGAAGCTTACCAGTGGCTAAATAGATCCCAGCTTTACTTCCTAACAAAATCACAGGTAACTGCCCCCCTCAAAAAAGGCAATCGCTTTGTACATGGAATTTTAGACTAATAGCCCATGACTGTTGGTGTGAGTTTGTTCTAGGTGAAATAACTTCATTAAAGGATTATTTCCCCAAAAATTAGGTCTAATATGCTCAGTACAGCAGTATTATTAATGTAAATGTATTACCATTTTACCCCACACCTTTGAGGTTCCTTAGGTATTGCTTGCATTAACTCTGTGACAGCAAAGAAGCAGAAGACAACAAAAATACTTCAAATTGCGTAAATGTTTTTTGTTTTTTTTTGTTTTAGTGTTTGATTTGCAGTTTTTAAAATGGTGGCTTGAGTTTGGTCTGTCAGTTATTTTTTATTCATTTCCATTTCTTAAGTATCTCTCAGACATAATCTTGTAACTCTCATAGTGGTTATTAAATAGGTTTAAATCTTTTATTCCTTTTCTATTGTCAAATATATATATCAAAATGAAAAATTTGACCTTCCCATTTTTTAACACCCTGTAACACCTTGTTTAGATTTGCACTCTACAGTTTGTCTTTTGCATCGTTAATTGATCTCTCTTTTCAGAGTTTATTGACATTCAGTACAAAGTCTCCAGAAGAAAAACTCACACCAACAAGCAAACAGGTATGTTTTAGCCATTCATAGCAGGATGCATTGCTTACCTGAAAGGATACAATTACCTTTTAGAAGTCAACTATGAGAAAAATATTTCACTGGACCCTAAAATGGAATTAGAAGTCATATACTTATAAACTGATATGTCTCTCTTGAAAGTTTTAGTGCTCTTTTAAAATTGTTTTAATTTATAATATCGGTAACATGCTTCCGATTTAAAGAGTCAAATATTTTAACAAGGCTCTTCAGAAAAAACTCCATCACCACTACCATTACCCTCAAAGACAATCACTCTCAAATCTTTTAGCTGAAGTTTTTTTTTAACTCTGAATCTCTAAGAAATCTCTAAGAAATGTTTATATTTCTAATTATAGATTTTTCAGATTTAGGTATTATCTGTTAACTCTGATCTATTGAAGCTGAATTTTTAGCCCTTTTTTACCTCAGCACTGCTTGCATATACACAACACACACTTTCCCTACTTGTCCCCCAATTTTCCCCATATGGGTAAATGTTAAATAGGTTAGTTTAGTAGTCATTGTCATAGCTGTATTAACACAATTCATAGCCAAACCATGTAGTAGTAATAGGCAGATTGTTTTTCCTTTTGTGACCAAGTTTTTATTTTCTCTGGACTTAATGATTGCCTTATTTTTTCATTTGCTTAGTTTTCTATTCTCATGTAATTCAACCCAAATTCTGCTCAAGTTGTATAAGTCTTCTCTGAGTGTTTTCAGATACCTTAGGTATTTTTTCAAGTCATGAAGGATTATTTCCAAGAGCCTTCTGACTGTCTTCAGTCTGGACTGATTGCTCTGGAAACCTGCTACAGAGTAGTCATCCTAGGATCTATATTCACCATCATTCTGGGGATTTATTTGACCTCTACTCTATTAGCGGCATAGTTTTTCTCTTTCTTTGGTCACTCCCCCGTTTTGGTGAAGCATTCTTTTAGTGCATTGGAGGTCAATTGAAGACCTTGCATGTTTGGAAATGTTTTTATTCTCTTTCACTTGATTATTATAGAGTTGTAGGTTGAAAATCATTCTTGCAGAACTTTGACATTATTGTCCTATTATTTTCTAATTTCCAGTATTACTAGAAGTTCAATACCATTCTTATTCTTGTTCCTTCATCTGTAACTTGGCTTGTTTATTTTCCTTTGAAACTCATTGGATTAATTCAATAATTTTTTTGTTATTTACTGTATGCCGGGGACCATTCTAGACCCTTGGGATACAGTAGTGAGAAAAGTAGTCAAGTCCCTATAAATTTGTGGTATTCACAGTCCACCAGAAGATCGAGACAGTAAACAACATGCATTAAGTAAAATATAGAATAGAGAAGGTGGTAAGAATTACGGTGGGGTGGGGGATAGATGAAAAGATGGCATGCATGGGATGCAGCTTATAATTTTAAACAGGGAAGTCTAGGTAGGCCTTTTTGAAAAGATTCTGACTTTTTATCTGAGTTACATATAGGGCCCCTTGGAGGGTTTTGAGTAGAGAACTAAGGAGGAGCTAATTACTTCTTTCCCTGTATTTTCTCTATTTTCTAGAACTCCTATTATTTAGTGCTGGACCTTCTAAAATGGTTCTCTATGATTCTTATTGTTTTACCTATTTTTTGGTTGTTTTCTGGAAGATTTCTTCATCTTTATCATCACATCTTCTTTTCTTTTTCATGGTCTGTTTCCATCACATTTTTGTTTGGTTTTGGTTTGTTTTGGTTGCTGCCTTTCATCTAGAGGTTTTCATCAGAGTCTGATGATTCTTGACTGTCTTTGGATTTAAAAGTGGGTTAAAAAGCCACTTGGAAGTTCTCTGCCTGTGCAGAACTTATCCCCTGGCTTCCACTATGTGAGCTAATTTATTGAGACAATCTCAAATCTCATTACAATTGACCCTTGAGCAACATAGAGATTGAAAACCTATGTATAACTTTTGACTTCCCAGAACTTAATCTGAAGCCTTACCAATAACAGTTATTTGTGTTGTATGTGTTATATACTGTATTCTTACAACAAAGTAAGCTAGAGGAAAAAAAAAATGTTAAGAAAATCATAAGGAGGCCGGGCATGGTGGTTCATGCCTGTAATCCCAGCACTTAGCGAGGCCGGGGCAGGTGGATCACTTGAGGTCAGGAGTTCAAGACCAGCCTGGCCAACATGGCAAAACCCCATCTCTACTAAAAATACAAAAATTAGCCTGACGTGGTGGTGCACGCCTGTAATCCCACCTACTCGAGGGACTGAGGCAGGAGAATCACTTGAACCTGGGAGGTAGAGGTTGCAGTGAGCCCAGGTCATACCTCTGTACTCCCGCCTGGGTGACAGAACTAGACTCCGTCTCAAAAAAAATAAAAAATACTGTAAGGAAAAGAAAAATATGTTTATTCATTAAGTGGAAATAGATCATCACAAAGGTCTTCATCCTTATCTTCACATCAAGTAGGCTAAGGAAGAAAAGGGGTTGATATTGCCATCTCAGCTCTGGCAGAAATAGAATAAACTTGACATAGCCGTGTTATTCGAACCCTTGTTATTCCAAGGTCAGCTGTATCTTTAGGTTTTACTTAGGCTGGTCAAATTAACCATATAAAATTCTTCTGCGTTCTTGCCTGAAGGACTTAGACCTGCCTGCCAGTGTTCTGAGAACCCCCTAATGAAGTACAACTGCCTAGATATGAAGATACCACCACCACCACCACTGCTACCCATACCCAGCCTAAAGACCTAGAGCCCTCTGCTGTGGCTCAGGAGGAGCTGTAGCAATCTGGGTGCTTTCTAAATAGACTTTTGACCAGCCCATCTGGTTTGTCTAGTCCCATTTTCACCCCACATGCAGAGTTACTATTATTACCAACTCCTGAGCGTGTGCAGGATTCTGTAGTATGAACTGGGATGCTTGGCTTTCCCTACAGCCAGCTTAGAATTGTGCTTTCTCAGCTCTACTGAGCTCAATACCATCCTTCAGCCTGCTCTCCAGCTTCCAACATGTTACTGTTGAGGCCTTTTCCCTCATTTTCTATCATTGTGAGTATGTGCCCTTCGAAAACCCTTTTGCTGTCATTTTTGTGGGATTTGGTGAAGAACTAGTGGTAAATGCATGTTTTCTCCTGTCATCTAAGTGTCCACTGTTAGCTCTTCTCATAAGTGCGATGCTAGGCCTCAGCTGCTTTCTCAGTGAAATGAGAGAATCATACTAGCTGGATAATTTGTAAAATCCCTTTCCTCACAGACTTATGATTCTGTAGTACTTACTGTTAAGTCAGAAGCAGTTCTTCCTTTCTTCTGAAATAATTTCCCTTTGTCTTAAATCCTTATAGCTGCTAGCAGAAGAAAGTCTTCCCACAACCCCATTTTATTTCATATTGGGAAAACACAGGCAACTGCAGGATGAAAAATTAAATGAAACTTTAGAGAATGAGCTGGTACAACTACCCTTAACAGAAAACATACCCGCAGTTAGTGAGGTAAGTAATTATGAAAGCAAACCATGTGAAACAGATTAAATGCACTTAAAGCACCTGAAGCTGGAGTTTTGACACAGTCAATCTGTAATTTGTATGCTGTACAACTTTAATACCCAAATAAATAACTAACAACAAACTGAATAAGTTAACCTTGTGATCTGGGATTGTTTTGGCCTGGATCTGGGGTAGGGGTAGAGGTGGTTGTTGGCATAAATGTAGGAAGGTAGAAATGCATTTTTCTTTGGTTTGGCTTTTGTATGGGGAAAGCTTTTTCACATTTCACTCTTGGCATTTACAATAAAAGGGCCTCCGTGAGGACACTGTAGGAACAGACTGCGGTGGAGGATAACCATTTTAACTGGAACTCTGTTTTCTGTTTGACTCCAGCTTCTTCACACTCCAGCCCATGTCCTGCCATCTGCTGCTTTCCTGTGCTCCATGTTTGTAAATTCATTGCTGCTGTCTAAAGAGACTAAGAGGTAAAGCAGTTCTTAAGACAGGTTTAGATGCACTGTTTTGGGAAACAGGATGGTTTGTGTTTATCCTTTTTTAGAATATTCTTCCACTGTATTTCTTTTTATTTCATAAATTAAAACTGATTTAAAGGCTATAGGATTATTAAGTCAAGTAAAATATATTGAAAATAAGTTTCAAAAAAGATCTTTGTGTGTTCTAAGGGTTTGGTACATAATTTAAAATTATACTTTTGTAAATTCACCTGCTCTTTTATAAATAACCCATAATTTTTAAAGTGTACTTAGTAAGAAAAGTCTTCATTTACTTTGTATGGTATTTCTACATAGGTGTCAAATTAGAAAGTTACTGTTTAGAAACTTTTTTTAATAGTGTTTTTTTATTCTGTTATTGTTAAAGTGCTAAAGAAATTCCTGAAGATGTAGATATGGAAGAAGAAAAAGAAAGTGAAGATTCAGACAAAGAAAATGATTTTATCGAAAAGGTCCAGGATACAAATAACACAGGTTTAGGAGAGGACATTATACATCAGTTGTCAAACTCTGAAGAAAAAGAACTGAGAAAATTTAGGAAAATAGACTACAGCTGGATAGCTGCCCTTTAGGCCTTGGAGATGGGGAGGATTCTTGGACTTTGTGTTTCTGATTGTATGTTGATATTCCAAAAACATCTATTTTAATGTTATTTCTGTTCTAAAAACAAGATAATAAATATTAAGCTGTGCTTTTTAAAAAAAAACATAATATGAACATGGATTTGCATCATGCTTTAGAGTTACTGGATCATTGGTATACCACATCATCTCATTTTTTTATTTTTGAGTCACACGTCAGCCTTATAAAACAAGTAGGTATTTTCTTCACAGGTGATACAGGAGAACTGAGACTGGAACTGTACAGCATATGTCGCCTTAGCTGCAGTTTGGAGATACGAAAAGTTTTGAAAATTAAAAGTCTTTGTTGATATAATTGTCTTAAGTTTAACACTGAAATTCATTTGGTGGCCAAATATGACCTGAGCAGGAGTGAGGTTTCTTTAGTCCTGATTTATTCCTCTTAGTGTATTTATTTCTCTTAGAGAAATTTAGAGACAAGTTGATTATGTGGTGTTCCACAAACCTCACTGAGGATATTATGTAGTAACGTGGGCTGCCTAAAATTCTGAATTCAGATCATCTGGCCCAAAGTCCCGTTGCTAGTAGAAAACGATCCAAATCCCCTGTTTCATGTTAAAGCAGTGACGCTACTACATCTTAACCACCTAGCATTTTGAGTTTTCCACTTACCTAATGTACTTCTGTAAAATTTATATTTAAAAGCACAAAAAACAAAGTGTTTGTAAGAGCACATCTCAATGAATGTTCACAAAAATTGCTGCAAATGGCTTTTTAGTTTGTGCTGTAGACCAAATGTTTGTGCACCCCCTAAAATTCAAATGTTGGAATCTAATCCTCAATGTGGTATTTGGAGATGGGGCCTTTAGGAGATGATTAGGTCATGAGACGGGAGCCTTTGTGAATAGAATAAATGCCATTATAAAAGAGATTCTGGAGAGCTTCTTTAGGCCCGTTCTAATATGTGGGGACACAGCAAGAAGAAAACCATCGGAACGATGAGGTGGAGCCTCACCAAACAGCAAATCTGGTGCCTTTTTGTTAGATTTTCCGGCTTCCAGAACTGAGATATACGTTTCTGTTTATAAGCCACCCAGTCTGTAGCATCCTAAACAGACTTAAAATGTTTTTGAATCACTATTTATATAAAATCTTAACTTTTTTTTTTCAAGCCCCCAACTCCCACCTGAGACTCTACAGTAGCTGGAACTACAGGCACCACCACGCCTGGCTAATTTTTTAATTTTTTGTAGAGATGTCTTGCTATGTTGTCCAGGCTAGTCTCGAACTCTTTGACCTCTAGCGATCCTCCCACCTCGGCTACATTTTTTAAAAATAAGCTGCATTGAGATTTGAGATGTAACTCACAAACCATACAAGTCATGCATTTAAAGAGGACAATTTAGTGGTTTTTAATACATTCAGGGTTGCACACCCTCACAATCAATTTTAAAACATTTTCATCACCCCAAAACTAGCCATTTACCTTAAGCTCCCTCACCTCACCAACAATGCAACTATTCATCCCATCTCTGTAAATTTGCCTATTCTGGACATTTCATGTAAATGGACTCATACAATATGTGATCTTTTGTAACTGGCTGCTTTCACTTAGCATCCATGTTGTAGATATATCAGTACTTCATTCCTTTTTATTTTCACTTTTGTGAGTATACCTACAAGTGGAATTACTGGGTTATTTGGTAACTATGTTTAACCTTTTGAAGAACTACCAGACTTTACATATCAACTGCAGCATTTTACATTACTTACATTATGGCACATAAATTGCTCCACAGTCATCCACTATATTGAGTCCCCTTTTACTGGCGGTGGGATGGAAGGTGGAAATTTAAAAAAAAAATTGACATCCTTTTTCAGGGCTGCTTTTGTTGTTTTAAATATTTTTTTTAGTGTAGTTTTAGGTCAAGAAAATTGAAAGTACAGAGATTTCCCATATACCCACTCCCCCAACACATGCAATGCAATAGCCTACTCCATTATCAACATCTCTGGTGCACCAGAGTGGTACATTTTTTACAATCAAAGAACCTACCTCAACCCATCATAATCACCCAGTCTAATTTGAATTAGGGTGCAGTCTTGGTGTAATTCTGTGGATTTACACAACGTATGTATCCATCGGTATAGTATTACTCAAGAGTATTTTCACTGCTACCAGCCTCGTCTTAATTGCTTACCACCCAAATCTCCATTATTTTTGAGGCTTCTGTCAGAACCGTATTCTTATGGACTGCCTCTTGCCCCTGGGCAAGATATCTGAGCCACTGCTCCAGAACCATGGGTAAGCACAAAGGACCAGTTCTCTCAAGAGTGACACCCCTGCTTTACAAACTGGGCAGAGGCAGTAGCCTACCAGCAAGCTGGGGCAGTGGTGACCAGAGCTCCAGTATTCTTAGCCTACCATCCCTGGAGTAGAGGCTCCACTCTGTGAGTAGGGGAGGGAGATTGGTGAAGGAAGGGAGATTCCAACCTCTGGCCTGGAATGTAGTCTCTGCAACAGAGAATTGGAGGCAATGAGAAATGCTGACAGCTGAGGGGAGAGGAATCTTTGGCCACGGCTGCCCAGAATGGAGTTTCTATCATGCTGGCTGAATAGAGGAGGAAGGAGAACTTTGTGACTTGAGTACCACAGACTCTCACTGTTCTTGCCACCAAGATTTATTAGAATGTGTTGAATAAATGTTTCTTCACTTGCTGTATACCCTTAAAACAATTTCTGGAGACTTTATTTATTTATTTATTTATTTATTCATTTTTGAGACAGAGTCTCCCTATTACCCAGGCTGAAGTACAGTGGTGCAATCTTGGCTCACTGCCGCCTCCGCCTCCCAGGTTCAAGCGATTCTTCTGCCTCAGCCTCCTATCTGGGACTACAGGCACCAGCCACCATGTCCAGCTATTTTTTGTGTTTTTAGTAGAGATGGGGTTTCACCATGTTGGCAAGGCTGGTGTCAAACTCCTGACCTCAAGGGATCCGCCCACCTAGGCCTCCCAAAGTGCTGGGATTACAGGCCTCAGCCACTGTGCCCAGCCAATTTCTGGAGACTTTAAATGGTTAGGTTTTTGAAAGTAACTTACTGATTACGGTTGTTCTAAGGAGCAGGACCATGGATTTCAGACTGCCATTGAAGTAGACCTCTCAAGTCTCAGTTTACATTTTCTTCTTTGCCTCTTCTTTTTTTCCTTTTTTTCTTATTTCTTTCTGTGCACAATTTGTTGAAAAACTCAAGTTTGCCCTGTGAGTTCCTCACTGATTTTGCAGATTTCTTTCATGGCTTTTAACATGACCCTCTATATATTGGTAGTTGTATCTAGAGTAGCACTATGCAATAGAAGTATAATGCAAGTCCTATGTATAACTTTAAATTCTCTAATAGTTAACAATAAAAAAGTAAAAACCAAATGAAATTAATGCTAATGATATATTTTCTAAAACCCTAAAACGATGTTTTATTAAATTCCATGTGTCTAAAATATTTAAACCTATAACCAAGTTTTAAATGATTTATTGGGATATTTTACATTTTTTTCTATACTGCCTTCAAAACTCAGTGTATATTTTATACTTACAGCACATTTCCATTTGAACTAGCCACACTTCCAGTACTTAGTTAGCTACCTGCGCCCAGTAGCTATGGTTTTGGACAGCATGAATCTGGAAGCTTGATCAGATTTACTTGGAAATTTTAAGTAAAACAAGAAAGATTGTGTCAACATTCATTTTGATCTTTTCAGCTTCTCCCTCTTCCTTTAGGAGATTGGGGCATATTGACATAATTACAAATAAATTTTATTATTATTTTGCCCTATGCAGACACTGACGTGGTACTTCCAAGCATAAGAAATACTTATTTTTTGCAGTTGTACATGGAAGATTTTATACTTTCAAATCAAATTACTTAACTTCAAGACATGTCTTTTTAAAATAGTGATTACTATATAACCTGAAAAATCACTGTGTAAGTGTGGACTTAATTACTTTTTCGAATAAGTTGATCACTCTTACACTAAAACCTTGCCAGGGAAGATTATTTTAATTCCTGCTTCAATATTAATTCTTTTCTCAAAGAATACTATACAAGTAATAGGGAAATGGCTGCTTGATTCCTTAAAACCTGGACTTTCATCTAGCCGTTCTATAATGCTGTCCCTCAGTTCCCTTCCTACTAGAAGCTGGTCCGGTCATAGAAGGTGAATTCATAAAGACTACTCACTTTCTATCCTTCCTCATTGTTCATTTCATTTATCTATCAAGACATGAGCCTGTTACACTTGGTGCTCTCACTGGTATGCCTTTCATAATGAAAGGCATAGCTTATAATTCAGGAAATATACAATCTCAACTTCACTGGGGAACGGACCGCATGTTAATCACCAACTATGTGCTATGCATTTCACACACATCATACTTTGTCTATAATATCATGTGTCAGGTGTTACCCCAATTTCACACAGGAGGAAACTGGTTTCAGAGAGATTAAGTAAATCCTATTTAGGTCACTGAGCTATCAGAGGTGGGGCTAAAACAGGAGGACCTCTGCCTATCAAATCCCAAATCTTGTGTACTTCTAGAATAACATATTGTCTACCAGACACTTAAAGCAGCTAATTAGCATTACAGAGGGATCTATAATTGGGGAGGAATTATGATAAGAATCAAATAAAATAGCCCAGATTTAGAGCTAATCTCAGCTGTAAATGAGTTAGCTAGCTCTGTGACCTGGCTATAATCCTTTCAACTGTCTGGGCTTAAATCCCCTCATCAGTAAAATGTGCTTTTGTCCCATGCAAATGGTTTTGTTTACCTGACTAATATGATTATATTGCACACATAGGAAATGCGTGTAAAATTTGAATATTGTACAAGATTATACACTTGAGTAGATAGAAAATTTTAATGAAAAATCTACTAATTGAATACATATTGATTAAAATAGCTTCGTTGTTAATGTGCTGAAACAACAGTCCTCTTTGGTTTTTTCCTCCCATCATAGACTAGCACCCAATATAGAAATTATAGAATATGTTGAAATGTTGAGGATAATGTATTTTAAATAACTTCAGTTCTTTGTACTGTGACTATAATGGAGTCTTTAACA